CTGAGCTGGTCAGCCCCTGCCTTGCTCCAGAGTACTCGGGCAGCTGGGAGCACGCTGACGTGGTCTACACTGTGAAAGGCCAGAGCACAGGTGAGCACTCTGATTGGTGGTGTGGTTGCCATGGTTACTCATCATGCAGCTGGGGTTAGGAACCTTTTGTGTGCATGTGTGTTTCAGGGGAGCCGGTTTACGAGGCGTGCCTGAACAGAGTGGAGAAGGTTTTGTACCAGAAAGTGGCGAAGGCGTCCGGCGTGACCGACATGGACTTCTACGCCTTCTCCTTCTACTACGACCGCGCCGTCGACATTGGCGCCATCGGTGAGGAAATACTGCCGCTCTGCTGCTCGCCTGCAGGGGGCAGCACGTCACGCTGATCCATCATGGCGTAAATAGGAAGCCAAATAAACCTCGACGAGGACGTGGCGTCTGTTGAAGCTGCAGAAACGCTCGGCGCTGCTGCGTTCGCGACTCAAACTTCTTCTTTGGCGGATTTTAGAAGACGAATCGTTTGTGAAGCCGCGCCGTTACAGGGGAAGTTACCCGGCACACCTGTTGTCCCCGGGGGGCGTCCCATTTATCAGAGCGTCCTGAATGTGGCCCGGCGTTACCTGCAGACCAGGTGTGAGGACGGGTCAGAGTTGGAGCTTCACATTCAGGCGGCGTTCGCTCACTGACTCGGCTTTAATCGCTCGTAGGCGCAACTTTCATCAGAGCCTCGTCCCAGACTTCCTGTTTGGTGTTTACCAGAGCCGATTGGCTCACAGCCGCCCCGTCCCGCAAGCTGCTGTTTGTCACCTTTAACATGACGTTTGACTGTGGGAGCCCACAGTTCCTGAACACAGCTGATCCCAGAAAAGCTGGAAAACCGGGAACGTTCGTGTTAAGGAGCTGCTGCAGGTTTCTGTTTAACCCTCCTCTCTGTGTCCAGACGAGAAGCAGGGAGGAAGCATCAGAGTGTCCGACTACACCGACGCAGCGAAGAAAGGTGAGACGGCGCCCTCTGCTGGACGTCACTCAGAGCTGCCGTCAACATCAGTGAAGCCAGAACGTGTTTCTGACCCGACTCTAGTCCACATGATTGATTAGTTTATGCTAACAAACCCCACAGAGGTCCAATAAATGTTGATATCAGCAGATTTGTTTTAAATCAGTGACCGCTGTGGGTGTTTTTCTCCCCGCAGGGTGCAGCGACGCGTCCGTCGGTCCTCAGCGGAGCCCCTTCCTCTGTCTGGACCTGGTCTACATCTCAGCCCTGCTGCAGGAGCTCGGCTTCCCTCCACACAAGCAGTTCAGGGTGAGCTTCCTGTCTCGCTTCTATCGATTCCTTTAAAACCATCGATCCGTCTCACCTCTCTGACGTTCTCTGTGTCCCAGCTTGCGAGGACCATCAACCAGGTGGAGACCAGCTGGGCTCTGGGCGCCACTTTCCACTACATCGAGTCCCTGAAGACACACTGAAGCTCTGAGCTTTTATTTTGAAAAGCCCGGGGTCCTGCTTACTCTGAACACAGCTGACTGATAATGTTTGTGCCAAAGCAGAAATCTGAGCGGATAAAAACGTGACGTGTGTGGAAGCGGCTCATTCAGACCGGCGGTCAGGAGGCCGGCTGAACTCGCTACGGTCCCAGCGTGGTTCATTAATCGATTATTTCACATTTTTATGACAGAAAGGATGCGGTGGAGCCAAGGGTTTGTGAGCCACTGAAGGGGAAAATAAAACCCTGTTTATGTGTTTGTTCTGTGGCTCCATTAGATAAACCTTTGTTAGTCCCACACGTGTTTGGTCACGGCACAAAGTTAACCATTCAACACGTTAGTGCGCCTCTCTTTTAGGTTTCTGGGATGTTGTTGGTAGTGTTGTGGGGTTTTCCGTAGATGTGTCGGTTTCTTGCGAGTTCTGCGTCAGTGTTTTGGGAATTCGGGTCGTTGTTTCTGAGCGTCGCCTGAATGACCGTCAGCGTGTCGTCTCGCCTGATCAAACTAAGCCGGGCTCAGTGTGAGCAGCTCGTTGGTGACTGATTGTTTTTATTCTGAAGGACTTCCTGTTTGTATCCCTGTAGTTTCATGATGAGCACATGTTTAAACGGTTCCTGGAGAAACCCGTCTCTCAGGTGCTGAGACCGTAAGAGTGAGTCACATGACTTTGGCGCCTCCTCTGATGTCAGCTGTTCCTGAGTGGAAGCTTCAGCATGTGAAACTTTCACACAAGATCAGGATGAGACAAAGAAGGGTTATTATGAACTGTGAATCATGGCGAGCTGCTCTGTGAGAGCCTCAAATAGACCTGAGTGTCCTTCTGTTGCGTGGAGAAGCTCCTCCTCTCTGTAACGTTCGTCTCAGTTTCGCTAATGATCATCTTCAAACCACCGAAGCAGCAGCTGGGCTCTCAGCAGGCCAGAGCTACACCGGCTTATTTCACACAGAGCGGCTCTGCATCAGTCCCAATGTTAAATTGAAGAATGTGAAATGTTTTCCCTCAGCTGATCCTGTGGTTCATATGAACGATGTTTGCAGGTTTTTAAGGATGAAGTTTTACATTCTGAATCATAAACTCTGTATTGTGATCAATAATTCATTGGAATAAAAACTGGAAACATTTCATGACCAGCTTTAATTCATAAAAACCTGAAGGTTTCACTTAAACACATTCAGGAAAGTTTAACAGAAGATGATGGAGGTGTGAAGATGTTTATCCTCAGCGTCCTGCAGTAGGAAGCCCACAAACACAGGTGTGCTTCAGGTGAGTGCGTGCAGGTCTGCTCTTCTCTTTTTGTAGGTCACTCATGTGGCGGGCGGCTTTAATGCTTTCAGTGTGAGTGAAAGCACCTGATTGGCTCCTTACCTTTGAAAACAGGAAGCTGGATCAGCGTGGAGCAGCCCTGAAGTTTGCTCATCACAGACAGCTGCAGAGAAACCAGCGAGTCTGCACCAGCTGACGTTTCACCGTCATCCTGAAGCTCCAGGTGTCTCAGGAGAAAGCACGCCGATGAGTAAAGGACGCCTCGCACGCCGAACACCACCTGCTCTCACTCACACCTTGACCCATGTGACCTTAATGACTGGTGTGATGATGGTGGCTCTCCACCAGCTGTTAGAGCCTCCAATAAGACGAGGAACACAAGACCACACGGCTGAGTGTGGTCGTGTGTTCCTCCTGAAAACTGTCGGCGAGGCTGCAGCGTTGAACAGCGAAGCAGAAAATGATCAAATGACGGCAACAACAGAACTTTAAATCAAAACCTTGAATGATGGAACCAGTGGTCAGCTCTCAGCTGTGAGAAAACACACGTGTGAGTCTGAACACGGCTCGGTCATGAGGTGTTTGTGTGAGGTCTGACCCTCCACCTTCGCTCAGGCAGCTGTGGCTACACCTGTAGCTGCCTCCATCAGTGTGTGAATGCGAGAGTGAATGAATAGTGGCATTGTAAAGCACTTTGGGTGCCTTGAAAAGCGCTATATAAATCCATTCCATCATTATTATTATTAGTGTGAATGCTTGTAAAAGCATTCACAGTATTGTTCTTCTAATCTTTATTATTATTAGACCTCCTGAGACGATACAAACTCAGCGTTTCTTCAACTCGTTTATTGCAAATATGTGTAAAAACAGTACATGTCCCAGACGGCCTCGGGTGTCTGCTGAGGGCCCTGCTACAGTCACTGTGCTGTCTGGATTATGATGCTAATAAAGTTTTAATGTTTAAAAAAGCAGCGGTGATGAACCTGCAGGCAGCATGTAAAGCTAATGCTATTAAAGACATCACAGGGCTAACTGAATTTGGCTAGCAGCAAACCTAGCTTGATAATATATTTACCATATTGTGTAAATTAATAAAAAATATTTCATATGTTTAATATTTGTTCCAGAATAGTTTTACATAAACAAAGGCATTTTTTTTCTTTTACCTCCACATACCATACGTATGACATCACAACCTGATTGGCTGGTTGTGACGTTGATCCTGGACGAGCGTTACTATGTGGCGGGTCCACTGGAGCCCAGTTTACAGCGAGTCACGCAGCGTCATAAAGATCTGAAGAAACGTTTCTGTGATGTTTAGTGTGAATGCTTGAATGCTGTCTCCTTGAAAACCGTTTAACTTAGAAAAACTTTGTTCAACAAAAATTTCCCATGTTTTTCAATGGGAGACTCTTCAAATTTTCATTAAAATTACTCATTTTTCAACTCTAACTACTTCCACATATATTGACATAGAGCCACCATTCAAACTTTAAAACGAAGCCAAGACATTCAACTATTCAACTTGTATTTATCTTTTCAATATCTATTATACTTTTTCTTCAGTTCCAGTTTAAGTTTCATGCTTTTTTAACCCTTTCCAGCCATTTCAGAGTTTATAATGGGTGTGTATGGGACGAAATGTTGGCGCTAGAGTGAGACAGCTCAACTGCTAGAGTGAGAGGAGGAAATAAATTAATCTTGAAATCTTCTCTTTAAACTGCTGTGGTGTCCACAGCGTTTGCTCTACAGGTATGATTTTACCCTCAAAACGTAGCCACCGCTGTCCTCTTTCATCCAATGTGTTTATTATAGTAATAGGTGTTATGGTTCTTTCATAAATGTCACCAATGCACAGCCTCCTCCCTCCAACTCTTCCACAGACTCTAATGTTAAAAGGGCTCAGAAGGTTCGTTTGAAAATCAGGAGTACAGGCTGTCTTTACACTGTCACCATGTCCATATAATAAACTCCACAGGCATGAAAACTGAGAATTCAGTAGACTAGACATTGCTCCCGCTCACAATGAAAGAATTTTGTCAATACGACTCCTAGTTTTCATTTGGGAACGATTTGTTTCGGGCTGACTTTTCTGTTCATTTTAAGCAGCAAAAGTGAGGCGCATGTCTGTGTGCGTGTGTATGGAGCCATTGGGTGCAGTCACTATAGCAACCAGGCTCACACCTGCCTGCTTAACGAGCTCTGTCTCACTCTGCCAAGATTCATCTTAAAATCTTCTCTTTCAACTGCTGCTGTGTCCACAGTGTTTGCTCTACAGCCATCATTTTACCCTCAAAACGTAGCCATCGTTCTTCTCTTTCCAACACCGTGTCTTTCAAAGCTCAGAGATGTAAACTTTTTAAACTGTGTGGATCCAAGTGAAGGGATCACATTGAATCACTGAATGAGTAAAAGAATATGAACTTTTAATATTCATTCAGATGTTTTCTGACTCTAAATTTTCTTTTCTCATTTCTTAGGTTTTTCTAATTTACAATGAAAACATTTTCAGCTATTTTCCAACTTCTGTGTGGATGTCAGCTTTTAGCACTTCAGCACTTTTGTTTTCAGATTAAATTCTGTTTTTTTAATCTCATTCAAATTTTTTAACTTAAAATTCAGCAATTAATTCATTTCAGTGCATACATTCAGATTCAAGCATTCACACTGCAGTTTCTTCAGAAAATGCACTTTCCAGTTATAAATGATTGGCATGCACGTGTGCATGCACATATGCATGCACACGCGCATGCATGTGTGCATGCGTGTGAGTTAGAGTCTCAGGGCTGTTTCTGCTTCATCTCCCTCCAGCTCTTCCACACCAGGACATCTCGACTTTTTCCCCAGGCGACGAACCAGCGGGGCAGCCTGAAGCCGTTGTATTGACCCACGCCGTCGTCATGGCCCATCGCCAGCAGCATGGTGACGTTACCTAGCAACCAGGAAGAACTGGAGTCAGCCAGAGAACAGAGGCAGGTGACCAACAGCCCGGCACGGTGAGCGCATACCTGTTTGATAGGAAGTCAGCTCCTTCCCGCTCACACTGTTGGCAATGTTGGCCACGGCGACAGCGGCGTGGAGGCCGGCGTTGTACGCCGTCTTGGGCTCGTTGACATTGGCGCAGTCACCCACGGCGAAGATGTTGGAGAAACCGTCGACCTGCAAGTGGTCGTTGACCTTCAAGGCCCCGTTTTCAGCCATGCTGTCATCTGTGAGCAGAAACCAGTCGTTAAAAATAAATGTCTGCGTGATTTTTCAGGCTAGCAGAGGCGGGACTCGGCATTAGCACTTCCTGTGACACTGTAAGAAGAGTGACGTCGGGCGACCCTGTGGTCAAACCGCAGCGTGGAGTGAAAGCAGGAAATGAGCTCAGTGCGTGTGGGTTTGCTGTTCTTACTGAAGGTGGCGCTGTAGGCTGCAGAGTTGATCTTGAGCCCGGTGCAGCAGACGATCAGATCCGTGACCAGCGTTTCGCCGTGGTCCGTCATCACCTCCGTGTTCTTCGTCATCGTGTTCAGCGGCAGCTCCGACAACTTGCTCACTTTCTGTCCTGAAAACACGGCGATGGAAAGTGAGCCGAACCCCGAGCTGACGTCACCCGTCTGCAGGCGTGAACTCACCCAACACAAGCTCCACCCCCTTCTCCAAGAGAACCTGATTGGCCTCGCGTCTGATGCTGGGCAGCAGCTCCGGGTCAGCCAGCCCGAGTTTGGAGTGGATCAGAACCACCTGGACAGATCGACGCGGAGGAGAGAGCGGGGTCAGCGTTCAAAGGGCAGCAGGGGTCAGAGGTCAATTTAATTCAGTTTTATTTATACAGTGCAAAGTCTGAAGCACAGTCAGCTCAGACGCTCCACCAATCTGAAGACACGGCTCAGTAAGCACAAATCTAACAGGAAGCAG